CAAGGATGAAACGAGATCACTCTGACCTGGAAAAGATCAAGGAAAAACTGTCCACATGCATGCCATTTTCTCCAGACCCATCTCTGAGAAACATCATTACTGGTTTAGTTGCCAAAGAGGATGTGAATGTGCATGAGTATGAGACTGTTGGGAATGAGATTATTGAAAAAATGGTTGGAAAACCTGTTTTTGGGATCTCATTCAAACGGAATGACCGGGCAAAAACCCTCACACGAGTCCACCATCAAATTTGCCCAAGGCCGAACCATTGACCCTGCTCTGCTGTTCCAAAGATTTCTGGTTCTGTCAAAACCCCGAGACCTTTCACTGGAAGATGTAATGAGCTATGAGCTCAGCCCATTCCCTACAGCCCTATTTGAAGCCAAGGAAATCTTTCGTAAAACTGACAAGCCCCAACTAGCACATGCAGTTGCTGAGTATTCAAGCAAGAAATCAAAAGAAGCTGTCATGGATTCTATCCCACTAACCGAACATTATGTCCTTGATGGTGGTTCCCTGGTCCATTGCTTGCCATGGAAAAAGGGTGACAGTTATGGTGCCATTGCACGGATGTATGCTGACTTTACCATACGCCATTATGGAAAAGCAACCATAGTTTTTGATGGCTATAGTGAAGGTCCTTCCACCAAAGACAATACGCATCAGCGACGTGGGCAAAACACCCGCCCGATCATCAGCTTCAATGCAAAAACTGAGTGTTGGAAGAAAGGATGATTTCCTTTCCACATCTTGCAACAAACAACGACTTATTGATCTTGTAACTGAGGAACTACATAAGAAGGGCTACACTGTTATCAATGCATTAGGGGATGCAGACATGGACATTGTCAAGGCTGCAATGAAGGCGTCACAACATCAGCTCACGACCTTGATAGGGGAGGATACAGACCTGCTCATTCTTCTCCTCTACTATGCTGAAGCAAACAATAGGGGCCTCTATTTTCGTTCGGACAAGTCCACAGTTCCTAAGGTGTACAACATCAGTGAGATGAAACAAGTCCTGGGTAGTGACATGTGTTCTCAGTTGCTGTTTATCCACGCTTTCACAGGATGTGACACAACTTCCCACATTTTCAGTGTTGGCAAAAAGTCAGCGTTCCAGAAACTTGTGAATGGTGAATTGACCATTCAGACCTGTGCGAATGCGTTTCTGCTCCCAAATCAAGCAAACAGTGTCATAGAGGACCTTGGGAGCAAGGCGATGGCAGTTCTGTTTGGTGGCAAGAGTACCGATTCACTTGCCTCTGTGTGCTACAACCTTTTGATTAAGAAAATTGTCTCCGCCAAGTCATTTGTTACCCCAGAACGTCTCCCTCCTACCAAGTCCTCGACTAAATATCATAGCTTTAGAGTGCATTACCAGATCAAGGTGTGGACTGGAAAGGAGAGTGACATGAATGCAGTGGATTGGGGATAGAAACTGGAGGACAATCAGTTTGTGCCAGTTATGACCAAGAAAGCTACTGTGCCAGAAAGCCTCCTGCAGATGGTCCACTGTAATTGCACAACTGCCTGCCGAACACGTTGTAGTTGCAGAGGATACGGACTACCATGCACACCCGATTGTGGACCATGTCAAATTGAAAACTGTGAGAATCCACATAATCAACCTTTACAGGAGGAAGAATGTAACTATGACTATTTGTAAACCTGGTTCAGATCAAAGGCATTTTTCAGAAATATATATTATGGGATTTGTTATAACTTTTTACCAGTAATCACTACTATGTTAAATATGCTAATTGGTTTCCTAGATGCCCAAAACAAGGGGTCAGGCACCAGAATTATCTGTCTAGGATGAATAATGATGGAGTCATTGGCATTTTCATAGTTTGGTGGCCATATTTGTCTGCCATCTTGGATTTTGTAATTCTGTAATCACTTCACTATTATTTTAAATATGCTAACTGGATTCCTAGATCCCCAAAACATGGGGTTAGACAACGAAATTACTTGTCTAATATGAATTAGAAAGCGTAATGGGCATTTTCATAGTTTGGCAGCCATATTACATAAGAACATAAGAAAGTGGGATACTGCAGGAGGCCGACTGGCCCATACAGGGCAGATCCCTTTCACACCCATCCCAGCACTTCCATGTGCCTATCCAACTTCGTCTTGAAGCTCCCTAGCGTCCCCGATCCTACTATAGCACTCGGTAGCCTATTCCACATATCCACAACTCTATTACCAAACCAGTGCTTGCCTATATCCTTTCTGAATCGGAATTTATCTAATTTAAAGCCATTTGTTCTAGTTATTTCGTTATTACTGAGCTTCAGAACATCTTCCATTTTACCCTTGTTAATCCCACTTACCCACTTGTACACCTCTATCATATCTCCCTAACTCTCGCCTCTCTAATGAATGTAAGCTAAGCTTTTCAGTCTTTCTTCATATGGAAGGTTTCTAATATTATGGATCATTTTTGTCATTCTTCTTTGTACTCTCTCCAAAGAATCTATGTCCATTCTATAATAAGGACACCAGAACTGAACCGCATAATCCATGTGTGGCCTCACTAATGCTAGGTAAAGTTTCATGATAACGTCAGCAGTTCTGTTACTCACAGACCTAGATATGAACCCAAGAATCCTGTTTGCCTTGTTGCGAACGCTAATACATTGTTTTCTAGGTTTCAAATCGTTGCTAACAAATACACCTAGATCTTTTTCACAAACTGAGTTTTCTATTTCCGTGTTACCTAGTTTATACTTAACGTTTGTATTCGTCTTCCCTATCTGTAGTACCTTGCATTTATCAGTATTAAAATTCATTTGCCAGTCTACTGACCACTCATATTGGTCCTCCATCTTAAATTATGTAATTATGTAATGGCTTCACTATAATTTAGATATGCTAACTGGATTCCTAGATCCCCAAAACATGGGTTAGGCACCAAAATTACTTCTCTAGGATGAATAATGAAGGAGTAACGGGCATTTTAAGGATCTGGTGACTAACTTCAACGCCATCTTGAAAATTAGACCTTTCTTGTGGTCAAACTGTGGTAGACTTTTGATATGTTATTAAGCACACCTGATACTACAATAAACAGTTGAGAAACCTTTGTAGGAATTTTTTTTGGGGGTCAAACCATATTTTCAGCCGACTAAAACAGAAAGAACTTACTTTGCTACGGTGAAATTTGAGGCATTTTCTTGACGTGAGATGATAAGGCAGTCCTGGCGGGTTAGTCCTATAGTGTATATATGTATTAACCCTAATGTAGATCAACCTCAATATTAAGGGAAGTTTTTTAAGATCGATTTCGTTCGTGGCATTCGTTAGGTTCCTAGGTTCTTTCGTTGGGTTTACATCTACCACAAAAAATAAATGTACAATTTGGTTTAAAATTTTTGACACACTATTAGCATAATATTAAACACATAAATGAACATGACACTACATAGAACTTACTAGAACCTGACCTAATAGGTTGGATTTGTTAGGTCAGGTTCTACTAGGATTTAGTAGGTTCTATGCATTGTCATTACCATTTCTGTGTTTAATATCATGCTAATAGGGTGTATAAAAAATATAAACCTTGTCCAGTGTTTTTTGTTGACGAAATCGCTCGCAGCACTAAGTAATCATTTACCAGCAATAAATATATGATAAAGGTGTAGAAGAGGGTGACCACCAGAAGGAATAGTCCAAATTGGTTGAGATTTTTTCTACACACTAATATCATGATATTAAACACAAAAATGGAAACAACAGGTTCTATTAGGTTCTATGCATTATCATGTTAATTTATATGTTAAACAACGTACCTTAATATTGAGGTTGATATAAATCACCAATGGCGAGGAGGAATACGTGGAAGCGTTCACCATCATTTAGGAAACGTCTCTTGAAAAGGGATTCAGCGAGGTAAACAACAAAAATGGCGCCGGGAGGAGAATTGTGAAGCAGGTTAGAGTAAATAAAATAAATACTTACATCTTAACAGAAAGTTGTCGTTTCTCTTAATATACTTAAAATCATCAAAACAATAAGTACAGCAAAAATAAAGAAAATCAACAAACAACGGTGAATTTTTATCTTGCACAGGTATTTCTCTCGCTGTTATTAATATGTATTTCGCAATGTTTAGACAATTCTAAGACCTTTATCATCTGTGATATTTACACCAGAAATTACAGTAAGGATAACCGAGATATTAATTTTTCACTATTATTAGATTTGGTCAGTCACAAGTGTCGCCATTTGTTGTTTACGTCTCACAGAGAAGGTCTGACCACCCATCACACGGTGCTCTTTACCTCCGTGTTGGCTTCTTGAGCATCTACAGCACATGTGGGGGATGTTGTGGGAGTTTCTTATTGGCTACAGTGATAGGAGACTTATAATTGGGCAAGAGTTTTTTGTCTTAGCCAATGAACAATACGTAGGTGAGTCGGGAGCGGAGACTTGATTTTTCAATACCAGAATATCCAGATATGGCCGAACAGGTGGAAAGAGCTGTGCCGACAATGTGATAGAGATTATTTTACCCCAAGTGCAGAGTTTTATCAGAAAATAGTGTTGTGTTAGGTTAGGTTAGGTTAGGTTAGGTCAAGTCAGGTCAGGTTAGGAATTAATATCAAATCCGTTTGAAACTCATCAAATAACATGGGAAAAACATTTTCAATATCCAAACAATGACCGGTATATAAGCTTTGGGTAGAGTTCCCTTTAACTTGGCTTATATATAAATAAGTTGAGAGATTAAGGTACAAACCCAAAATGGTCTTTTATCATTATAGAACCTAACCTCATCAACCAAAGAAACCTACCTAACCTAACTTCCTAGCTGGGGACGGATCCCCCCCCCCCCCTCCATCATATTAAACAGAAAGTACTTAACCAATCAAAGTGCACTCACGGTAAAATAGCATTAGTGGGACCTTAGCCGGTCACGGCAAAATATCCAGTGTCATAAATTAGTTTATGGCCCCAAGTTGGTGGTTGAGGCACACAACTGTGTAAGTTACCTGTGTTGTGAGAGTTGGACGGTCAACTCCTGCTCGGCCCGGACACGTGTCCTCCTTCCTCCTGTACTAACACCAACCGACCAAGCCGATAACATTAATAAAATAATAACCGTTGTACTGTACCGCCAGTCTCTTTTGTTGTGACTTGTAAGATGGTTCTTGTGACTCATCTTTTTCTTTGGTCTTTATTATATTTGTAGAATATTTTTACTTCTTTCTATTTAATATTGTGGATTTTATTTACATTTAAGTGCTAATATAAATAGTTATGGGTGGTAGAGCTATTGTACAGATCATCAAGCAACATAAACATGCTAAACCTGTTGCATTAAACCTTGGGGACGCTGTTATGTTAAGAGAACCTGAAGGAACTCTAAACGTTCGGCAAAATTTTCTGGTCCATTCTGCATAATCTCAAAAGAATCAGGCAACAAATTTAAAATTTGGAAGCCTAATGCACAGATTGCAGATGTGCACACGGATCGTCTGAAGAAGACCCAGATAAATGTATTACCCACTAGCGTAGCTAGGGGGGGCGGTCCGCCCCGGGCGGCACTTTTGGGTCTGCTCATCACCCATATCTGCAGCTACTGGAGATGTTAATCCATCCCTTTGTATCGGCGTCGACCCAAAAAGAAGAAACATATGTTTGGTGAAGGATCACGAGATGCTGAATTGCCATACGACATTGAATTGAGGAGAGAAATGTTTTCTTCGCTGGACAGAGTGATCCAAGAAATAACTTTGAGATTTCAACAGCTTCATGAACTTGCTGAGAAATATGCCTTCCTTACCCCATTGAATCTTTTGGATGATAAATATGAGTGTCAAATAGATCACGATCACGACGACATTGATAAAGAGGAGTTCCTCGTTGAGAGAAAAAGACTTCAGCATTTTGTTGCTGTTGCTGCTATAACTATTAAAGACAGAATACAGACGTGGAAAGAAGGCCCCCTTGAACTTTTGCAGTTTATTCAAAAGTATAACCTTAGGAACTCGGTTCCAAATATAGTAATAATGCTGAGGATTTTCGTCACAATTGCTGTTAGTGTTGCTACCTGTGAGAGGAGTTTTTCGAAACTAAAACTGATCAAGAATTACTTAAGATCTACTATGAGCACCTTGCGGTTGAGAAATCTTGCCATACTGTCTATAGAGCGACAATTGACAGATGAAATAGTTTTTGACAATGTCATTGAAGAATTTGCCAACAAAAAACAAGAAAAGTTACTTTGTAGAAAGTTGTAGTTTTCATTTCAGAAATAAAGATGGTCCTAATTTTTTACACTTTTTTACTTTTTTCCCTATCCTATTTGTCGTTTTTGCTTTTTGTTTAACTGTTACTTATAAAGTTTAAGTATGTTTGGTGTGTATTTAAAGCATACTATATTTGAGTATGTGAAGGTACAGTAATATTATAATGGTACACAAACTATTTAATATAGGCTATATATATATATATATAAGAGTGAGTCACTGTGCAATATGTATTTTTTGTGGGGGCACGGGGGGGGGGGGGCAAACTCAAGGGCCGCCCCGGGCGGCACACACTCTAGCTACGCCACTGGTATTACCTCCAGTTGATGATGATGTGATTGACACCTCCTTAAAGATTGTTCAGAAGCAGAGTGTCCCAAATGACTATTATATGAAACTTCGTTCTGCAAGCAGACGTTAAATCGTTTGTAATTCCTTAGCCTACAGAATGGCTTGGATCATCAGTGTGTTGCTTCTACACTGTTGTTGCACCGTTGTGTTGACATACATGTCCACATCAGTCCTCAAACCGGGTGCACTAGTGGCGCCTCTCGGACGCGTTTTCATAGTTGAGGACGTGGTGAACATCAAGTATGAACTCCATCCACTACTCCAACTTCAGCGTCAGATGGAAAACGTCGACGGCCAACTACAATCGGCATTGGACATCCTTCATGGTCTCAGCACGGCTTCTAATAATTCGACAATAGTTTCACAAACTATAGACCTTCTACACTTTCGTCTCCAGAACCTTCGCGAGCTTCTCGTAGATGTTGGGGAAAATCAACCGGCGTATCAAGCGGATCTTGCTAAAGAAGTGCATTCTCAGGCACAACGAAAAAGGGGTCTTTAATTTTGTGGGTCTCATCCAAAGAGCCTTGTTTGGCACGGCAACAGCCGATGATGTAGCTAAATTGGGGGACCGAATGAACGTTGTCATTCAGGCTGTATCTCAACAGAATCGTGTTATTTCTCAAACCTTTATTGCGATTACTGCTCTAGCATCAAAGGTTAATGCAATAATAGCAGAGCCTAACCAAGTTTCGAGGATTGTTACTAAGTTACAGAAAGCAATCCGGACGTTAGAATGGCTCCTTTATTTCACAGAATATTTGCATGCTGTGGAAATTTAGGTTCATAAAATTGTAACCTCTAGAAATGAACTAATAGACAGCATTGTAGATGCCGGGATAGGACATGTGGACGCGAAGCTTGTGCCTGTGCATACTCTTCTTGAAGCTTTAAAGATAGTCAAGTTGCAGTATCATTTAACTCCTATTTTTAATGACAATGAGGTTCAATATTATTACCCACTGTTGGAGTCAACCTTCACGCACAATACAATTCTGATCCACATTCCTATGCGAGGGCAACATGAGTTTAATGCATGGCATTTAGAACCCTTCCCCTGGTTTGTGAACGACACACTGTACACCCTAGATAGGCCTAAAGAACTTTTCTTAGATGAAGATTATTCTTTGTTATCAATAGAGGATTCTGAGGTACTGTCACGGTGTAACTCGTCTTATCTACACCTACACGTATTTCCAGCCTGCATATTTGCATTTATTCCTGCTGCAGAGGGAATATGTGAATTCGCGGTCAAACAAACAAATGTACGCACAGCACTTGCGCAATGCAGCTATAGGCCAGTTAGTGATAAAACTGTGTTTCACGCTCATCTGCACAATGTTCAGTAATTGTTCTTTCCAAATCTCACTACTGTTATATTAAAATGCCATGATGGTGTTAAGCAGCTAGTGGTGAAAGGGCACTACAAGGCTCCTGATTACTGTGAAATAACTTGTGGTACATTACAGACCTTGCCTACTCATCAGCATTTTGCTTTAAATCTTCAACTCCAGTCTGCTTTAATTCAACTGCCTACAATGAATTTCACTATTAAGGATATTCAAATAGTTTCAGAGAAATTAAAAGTTTTATCTTTCTTAAACGAGACACATTTTGCTGATTTGAAGAATAACTTGTCATTTTATCTATCTATCTTGCAATACCAAGCCTTACAATTCCCTCTATTTTGTTAATTCTGGCAATTATGTTCCTGCTCTGTTATTACAAGGCAGTGTCATCCAAATTCAACATTGTTCATAACATACTAACCCGTAAGTCACTAAAGTATAGGTCCCCTGTTGTAGCTAATACCCCTACAGTAGTTGAGTCCCCAGCTTAGTGTCTACATATCTGTTTATAACATGGTTAGGGTTGTCTAGGATGTACTGTACTCTGCGAGTTATTTAGGCCTCACGGAGCTCAGCTGGTAGGTGACCGAGCGATGTAATGGGCCCCTGTCTCATCAACAGAACATGTATATAAATGGGTCAATACATCTGATATTATATTCAGATTCACCACCCTGTAACTTTCCACTGTCTATGAGTAAGACATGAACGGTACACGTGAGAGGGCAACTCTCCCAAGAGGGAAGAAGCCCATAGTCAGCATTGTATGTAAGCCCGCACTGCGAGGCCCTTAGTCAGTCACTCACAGCAACTTATATCGTTTGGATGTGACCAACGTTTATATTACATAAACGCCGTCCCTTTCTCATTCACTCATATATAGTGGAACTTACGGTCGATCTACACTCAGGAATTAAAGATACAATCCTTTTATAATAAAACAAGCAACTACAGTTTGGGTTTCGTTACTTAAACCCAAATAATAAATATATGTGAACGGCCTGGTTAATTGGACAATCCAACCTATTCAACAGCACAAGAAGCTCCTGCAGGACTTGAAGCAGAAGAGGGAGGAGTCGAGGAGGAACGGGGACAGGTGTACATGGGTTATATTCAAGGTGAGGGTAGTGGAAGCAAGTGTGCCAACACAGGGCCGGGGGACAGCAGCGCACCCTCCACCCGGGAGGCGGCACCAGCTCCGCCTATCAGCCGGGAGGAGGCGAGCGCCTTGTAAGCAATGACATTTCTAATCACACCCTGCAAAATACAGTGTACTTAGCAAATGCTGCAGCATCTGAGAATGGGGTGGGGGGGAGCGGGGTTACTACTAAGAGCAGAGTCGTTACCGATACTGAGAACAAATTTGGGCTTGAATGTCATGAACACTTATACTGACGCTTTCCTTGATAAGAGAGAGGAGTTTGAAACACTACTGAAGGTACACCAACAGCATGGATAGAAGACTTTCTACATGACAGCAAGCAGTGTGTGGTGATTAATGGCACGAAATCATCATTCGTACCTGTCACAAGCGGGTTACCACAGGGCAATGTATTGGGACTGCTGTTGTTTGTTTGTTTCATAAATGACATGCCTGACGTTGTACACTCCTCCACACAAATGTTTACCGATGACGCCAAGTTTATTTCGGGAAATCAAGAACCAAGCTGACTGTGAATAGCTGCAGAAGGACCTCTGTGGGCTCCAGGAATGGTCGAAGAAATGGCTGCTGAGATTCAATGTCACGAAGTGTAAGAGGATGCACCTGGGGCGTACCAACGGTAGGGAGGCGTATCATATGTCCTAACGGGATGAAGAAACTGCACTATTTGACAGTCAATGTGAGAAGGACCCAGGTGTGTATGTTGACAATGAGGTGAAGTTCTCGGGCCATTGAGAGAAGAAGGCAAATCAGACAAATAAATTATTGGGTCTTATAAAAAGGTCGTTCAAATATCTAGATGGTCTGTCCCTCGTAACGATCTTCAGGAGTGAAGTGCTTCCCCATCTGGAGTACTGTCACGCCATCTGGTCCCCGAGATATGCTAGGGACTGTCAGTTGTTAGAAAATGTTCAAAGGGGGGCCACCAGACTGGTGCCTGCCCTTCGGCACCTCAGCTACCCTGAGAGATTGGAGCGCCTGAACTTGCCTAGCTTATACTACAGACGGGGAAGGGGCGACCTAATTGAGGTGTA